GTTTATGCGAGGGGGAGGAGAGGTTGAGCGCGAGGGGGAGGAGAGGTTGAGCGCGAGGGGGAGGACATAAAAGTGGAGGGGGAGGAGCTGACGGTGCAGGAAATGCTGGAGGAGAAAGAGGGAGAGGTGGTTAATGGAGGCCCTAGTTTTTAGACAACTTGTCAGGCCATTTATAACAAAATGCAAGGGTCAAACTTGCCGCCAAGTCATAGAGTAGAGACGATAGTTACTAACTGCAAAAAAAAAAACGAAAAGAAAAAGAAGGAAAAATCTATAAAACAGCAAGGCAAAAGTGCGCTTTCAAGCAAATTTTGCCAACATTCATTTTCAGAAATCTTGAGAAATTTCAGGAATCTTAGCAGAGGAAATTCAAATGCTCCAAATGTGATACATTCTCAGTCAAGCCATGTATATGAAGCCAAGGATCCACAAAGTGATGAAAAGGACTTGATTGGACAATGCAGCATCAGCAAAGCATCAACAAGAAATGTACATCCAGATATATACGAAAATAGAATAGTGTAGCGCAAGGGAAGACTCAAAGATATGACCTGACCTGTCAGATAATGATGCCACACCACATCATACACCACACATGTGAGAGAGGGGAGGGCACATACAAGGAAGAAAGGTACCTCCTTGAGCACCCACATGGGGAGATACCATGGACGAGGAGATGGGGGAGAGGTGAGACGAAGATGGAGTTGAGAGAGAAGACCCTGAGACGAAGATGGAGTTGAGAGAGAAGACCCAGATCGCGATAGCGAAGTCCAAAAACAGTCTTCCTGCGAAATGTCCAATCAATGTCTGCCACAAAATGTCGAATCAGATCCTGGGTCTCATTGCCCAATGTAACCTCTGCCTGTAACCTCTCTCTCTCTCTGTGGAAGAAGAAGAAGAAGAGATGGAGGGTGAGACTAAGAAGAAGAAGAACGATGTTGTCCTCCTTGCTGTCTCAGCTGCAGGTAACTGCCGCCATGTACTAACTCCCACCGGCGTGTCTATGTGTGCAGGTCGCTGGCATGGAGTCGAGTTAGGGCACCAAGGTAAGTACCACCTCAGCAGGAATGGCCTCTGCCTCACCTCCTACCTACACCTCTACACCTGCGCAGGGCTGTGTCGTGTTCCAGCACCTCCTACCTACACCTGTCAACCTGGTGCAGCGCTGTGTCATGTTCCAGCAGTGTGTCGCCCAAGAAGTGAGCTACTCGAACTGTGTGTCTGCCCTCGATTGGCCCAGCTATAAGATTTCTGGGCCTCGCGGGTGTGCCTCCGTGTGCTTCTGGTCCTAGGCCTAAAACGGCCTGCCTGGGGCCCTACCCGACGTCCAGGCCCTCGCTGCTGATGCAGCAGGGAGTGTTCGCTAGCGGACAAAAGTGGATTGGGCCCGACAGGGCCTGCCTATGTCCATTCCAGGCCAAAAAGTGGTGGACGAACTGAACTGCAAGTCCAAAATGATGCCTGAACAGATAAAAATAGGACAGCAAATAAATAAATAAATGAGTGGTGCCTCAAGTCGAAGATTGTGGCCTAATGATGGCAGTGGGCCTCCAGGGCGTGCATCCGTTGGGTGTGTGGCCTGTGGGCCCCAGCAACTGTTGGACCCCCAAAACGGGGCCCATGTGCAGGCTCAGCATGTAACACCCCCCCATTCTTATGAAGTCAAGCTGCGGCGAGGGAGAAGCTGACGATCCGAAGGTGGAACCTGGACCCGCTTTCGACGTGGAGCCGAAGGTGCTGGCTTGCTTTGTAACTTGTGTTCGTAACATGCAAGAACTTTGGGGACTCTGGCTTGGGGTTTCGCACGGGTCAACCAATGGGTGGCTACAATAGGAAAAACGAATTAGGTATTTGGTTGACTTGTTGCCGTAGCGTGGCTGGGAAATTATGTCACCAGCCTCCTGGAAACCGTCCATAGAGGGTGGGTCTGGGTGGCTACAATAGGAAAAACGAATTAGGTATTTGGTTGGCTTGTTGCCATAGCGTGGCTGGGAAATTATGTCACCAGCCTACTGGAAAACGTCCATAGAGGGTGGGTCTTGCGATCGCCGCGTGGAAAAGTGGTCGTTTTGCGCTGAAACGAACTTGGGACAACGGAAGACCGGGTGGCCGGGCAAGTGGCCGGGCACCTGAATGGTGAATGAGGGGTTTTCCAGTGCATCACCGCGGGTGCTACATTGTGTCAAAGCCCTATCCATTTCGGTAGGACCTTGTGAGAGATGTCTTCTTCGAGGCTGAATTCTGCGGTGGAGACCCAGAAGAGGTCGTTGGCGCAGTTCGGGCAAGGAAGAAGCTGGCGGTTGGCTTGATGGCTCATATGCAATTACGTCTTCGACACCTGGTCTCGTGTGTGCCTTCACAAGGAGCTCTTGTATCCGTCGAACTAAAAACGAGGTGCTTGTCACTTTCGGTCGCCGGTGGAATAATTGTCCAATGGCGATGTGACCGGCGAGCCATGCAATGTAGGGCGAAATCCCGATAGCCGGATGAATGGACGAGTTGTAAGCCAACTCCACGTTCGGCAGCCGCGCATCCCAATCGTTTTGGTTGGGCTGGATGAGAGGGCGAAGAAGAACCTGTACGGTTTGATGCGCCCTCTCCGTTTGGCCATCGGTTGGTGGGCGGCAAGTCGAGCTCGGCTTGAGAGATGAGCCCCATCGTTTGAAGAGATCAACCCAAACGTCTGACATGAATAGAGTGTCGCGGTCGCAAATTATCTCCGTGGGATAACGCTTGGTGTGAATCCAATCGGCGCAAAGAGCCTCGGCCAACTTTAGCACCTTGGTGTGATAGTGGCAAGGTGAAAATAATCGATTCCCGTCGTCCGAAGGGGATCTGTAATGGTTGCGGGCTTTGCAACGGCGGCAAATCTCTGATGACTCGCAATAGCGTGTGACTTCGCCGAAAAGGCCGGGCCACCAAAAGCGCTCGCGAAGTCAGACAATCGCACGATTGACTCAAAAATGTCCGACGGTGGGAGCTTCATGGAACTTGTCAGGAAGCAGCGTATGCAAGCGTGGATCATTTGGTATATCGAAAAGATCCTTCCCCCTCGAGTGGATGAGCAACAAACTCTCTCGGTTTCGATAGTGTGATGGCGTTGGATTTGGAGAGGAGCAGTACTATGTGTCCGATTTTGGATTCAACGCGCGTTGAATTCGCGTTGAATCCCCATTCAAACTCCCGTTAGACGGGGAAAAACGGGGTCCGCAATGATTTTTTTCCTGGGCTAAAAGTACTCGGGGAAGAAAAAAGGGGTTGTAGATCTTTTTGAGGGCTACAACCTTATATTTTTATTTTTAT